TAAACTACTTTATTATCAATGTATATGAATAAACCTGACTTCAAACATAGATAATATATTAAATTGTAATATATGAATTTTAAATTCTTAATTTTATAAGGAAATATTTAACACATTCCTCAATCTCCCCAAGTATGAGAATTGTGACATTTGTTCTATAGGTCTTACCACTCTTCTCTAATTTATTTACCATCCATATGGAATTCACAGTTCAAAATTAATTGTTGTCTGTTCACCATTGGTCACTAAAAATGCCTGTGGACTACCCAAAAGGTTTCCTGGGTGGTCCATGTGGCCACCAAAAAAATTGCTCATGAGAACCTAAATTTAAGTGATTATTTCCCCCAACAAGATAAATAATGTTTATGGCATGAGACAAGTATGAGAACAACAATGGTATTTGGGGAATTATTTGCAATGTTATTCTCAAATATCGAGTCAGTTTCTCACTGTTATCTGAAGGGTTGGATGCATCAACTCCATGGCATTCACACACACACATGGACTGAGACCCTATCTGAGCTTGCACTCAGGTGGCTCTGACCAGGTACAATGTATCTGCCAGTACTGGCTTTTTTTTTTTACATTTTGGGATAGCTTGAAGCTGTTTGGCAATTTGCCAATTACTGCATAATACATTAGGGAAGTGGTAGCTTAACCTTATAATTACCACGTGCTGCAATTTGTAGCACCTAACATCACTCTCATAGCATTTCATTCCAAAACTAAAACTACTGCATGAAATTGTTTGAAATTAGGCAATCACTTTCCTAAAAGTATGTAATTTCAAAAAAATAAAATATTTAATATGGATTTTTTTCTATCTTTTTAAATACAAATTCTTTATTTAATGCAATTATTTGCAGTCAGACTCAGAATAATTCACCTGCAAAGTGATTTTCATGTTAAATATAAAAATACTAATGTTTACCTTACAGTTTTCATATTTCACTTTCATAATCTTTAGAAGCTCCTAAATGAATATCAAACATTTTTTTTAAGGTAAATATTTATATTTTATTTGCCATTTTCTCTATAACATTACTAACTCTAGCTGTTATCACCGGTGTATAGTGCAGTGAATGTTTAAAATTAAGAAATAGAAATATGTACATACCTTTTGAATCTTCATTGATTATTTTATGACATTTCACATTTTTATCTTTTCATTTATAATTTATTTTTAATGTTTTATTTTCCTTTTATTTGTCTTTGATATATGTCGACACACATCAACAAGTGTCCTCAAGTGATGCTACATTAACTTCAGCTGTTAGGTTTATTTTTTTGCACTTGTGTAACAAAGTTGTTTTAGTGATTCAAAGTATAGAATAATTTAAAAAATGATTAAACCTTTCAGATATAAATATTAAATGTAAATAATACATAATTAAATAAAATATAAAAGTAAAACCTAAATTCAGTCTAACTGTCTATCAAACTAATACATATAAGGCAAGAGAAAATTGCCAAGCTCTACGAACACAGTTCTCAACAGTGAACTCATCCTCATTATAAAGATGCTGAACATAAATGTATACCATATGTGTCATGTAAGAATAAATGACCTTGAAGGGCAAAATCTGTTCTTTCTGTTGGTTATAAGCATGCCATTCAATCTAAAACAGTTGCTAAGCGACCCACCTTCTTTAACTGTTCTTTTATCAGTTTCTTTTGAAATTAAGGAATAAAAACTTAAATAATATAAGACTTTGAATCATAACATACTTGATAATTCTAATTTCATTAAAATACATTGAGAGTTAAGTGGTTTAATTAAATTTTGAATATAACTCTGTAACACTTTGTATTTAAATAGGGTAACAGTTGTGATAGGGTTAATGTGATGATCCTTTTTAAACACATTTTGTAGTAAAGCCCAAATACTGATTAACTCAATTTAAAAAATCTGGTTTGTTGTGTACAAGGTACTTGTAAAATTTACTGAAAGTGTGCCAAATTTTGTGAAGATATACAAAATATATAAGTTATAGTATGGAAATTTATAATTACTTTGTAGTTACAAGGTCAATCACATTAACCAACCCTGTGGGGAAAGAGTTAAGATAAGAATGTTTCATGCATATCATAATGTTAGACAGTGATATATTTAAGAAGGAGTGTCAGTGTATACCTTTTGTGCTAAATAGTTTCAGGTATTTTTCTTAGACCAGCAATATTTTGCATAAAGCTTAATAACACTTTTGCTATGACATATATAATCTCTATTCTGAAAAAAATGTAATAAGTTTTTTAAGCAGTGATGTATTTCTTTTCAAGTAAAACAATTTATCATAGTATTTGAAAAGAATGTTGTCTGTTCATGCAATAAAATTACTAAATTTTCAAAATTCATAAACCATTTATGTCAACTCATCACTGACAAACACTGGTTTAGAACATTGTAAAAAATGTTTTCTTTGCAGCTGGATTATGTGTTTGGCTAAATAACCTTTGATGGTTAAGGAGTCAAAATATGCTAAAATGGAAGCATATGATTATCAGATGCATTGTATTTACCATGTTACAATTCAATCATTCAAAAAATACTACCCTTTATCAAATTGACGTTTATAACATTTTCTGTACATTGTATCACTCAATGCAAAACAGCTACATTTCCAAACAGGAAGTTTATAAGTGAAAGCATCCAAATATCAATGAGTTCTCATCCCCTTGTGAAAAGCCACATGAATGCCAACATTTTGTGTCCCTCATCTAGTAGGGATAGTGCTTTTTGCATGTACAGATGTATTTTATGTACTTTCCATACCATCTTCAAAAATTTTGTAGTTCCTTAATACCATTAGGATTTTACAAAATAAAATTGTAATTAATTAAGAGTTAAAATTGTATACTCTCATTTTGCAGAAAGAACCACCAATTAAACCCAGTGAACACAGAATTCAGGTACTAGAACATAATTCTGGAAAGCTTTTGACTGGTGCTCATGCTCCACTAGCTGAACATCTTCTTGAATGGATAAAGATTAATCCATCTTTCCAGATATTAAAGCCAAGACATATTCCAACTACAAAGGACTGTGTGGTAAAAAGTAAGTGTTTTTTTATGATGTTTTCAAATAGGTTTAACTGTACATAGAAAAATTTTTTCAAGTGTCTCTAGGAAGGAAATATTACACTTCCACACACCCAAGAAATTTAAAATTTCTTGAGGTATTTCATCTTTTTAGTTGGCTTTCCTGATCGTGAATGCATGGTCCATCTATATTCCTATAGTAATGACCAATGAAAGTGAACATACTGTACAGATTAAATAAATGAGCAATACACGAGGAATTGCAACTTTACATGAGGAAGTGTAGTCTCCCTGATAGCTTTCCCTCAAGCGAATGCAATTTTATTTCATTATTTCTGTTCCTGTGTCTTCGTAGTATTATCAAAATCAGGTAGATGTCTTTCATAAATAAAAAGAATGTTGTGTGTATGTACATATTTACTTATTGTTTAAAAAGCTAGTACCGATTATTTAAGTAACTATAGGGTATGAAATTATTGACTCAGTTAAATGACAAAGATTTATCTGTAAGATGAACATTTTGCTTTGAAGCAGTGGCCAAAAAAGTTTCTGTTGAAGCTACTCTATTTGTAGTGGAACTACAGCATATTTGTAGAAATGAGCTTGTCATTACAGCATTTTTATTTTTTTTTCCAATGTACCAAATCTTCTATAGGCCAACTTGTGGATTTTGCTCAGTTTAAGGTCTGTTTTTATACTTTGCCTACATTTTTTAATGTGAGCATATTCTTTAAACAGCTTCAGCCTGTTGCTTATTGTTACGAGATGTAATAATATATTTTTTTAAGGAAGCTCTGGCTTTTTTGTCATAAAAACTGTTATTCATGTACTAATCTTCAAGATATGACTATGTCATATTTTAAAATGTTTAAACCTTTCATTTTCTGACACAAATGCACAATAAGCAAAAAATAATCAATGAATAAATATACATTAATCTAAAATACACCCTACTTTTGAGCCAATGAAATGGCAGCTTGGTCAGTAGAGCTGATTAGATTGCTACATGTGTAAAAGATAAAATTATCCAGTGAAATTTTTGTATTTATGGTACAACAACGTTTTTCCACATTGCTTACTGAATGGTTTATAAGGCTCACGGTGAATAAACTCTTCCGATACGATATCTTACCTCTTCTCGACTAGCACTGTCATCTGTTGGCACAAATTTTCAATGTATGTCACTAGCCTTCCACCTCCTACTTCTGCATATCCAGATGCAAATGATCATGCAGGAACTCAACACCACGCCTATTGATTGCTAGTAGTGCTCTCTAGTGGTTTTTTGCTTCATAAATATGTTCATCCCAGACTGTACACTCATGAACTGACATGAGTAAAGCAGACAGAGATTGCTGCTTATATCTTATGCTCAGTGGCATTGAGACTCTTACTTCCACAGACCTGATGTACAATTCCAGATGCCACCAGGATTTGGTTGATCGACTCAGTTGACATGGTAGCTCTGCTTTTCAAAATAGGGTGTTGTGTCACCCATTGCACTGTCTCCAGTGATGCAGTCCTCCAGACTCTCTAACACGTTTTTCCCTTTTTTCTAGTGGAGTATGGGAGTCCTTGCCACTTACCAGTTCCTAGCTGCTGTAGTGGTGGACCATGGAGACCTGTCCTCGTAAGTGATGAATCATACTACTCAGTTGAGAGTAGGGTGGTAGCATTTTGCTGGTTTATTGCACTTCCTACCACAAACCTGATGTACAATTCCAGATGCCACCAGGTCTTGGTTCTAGCACTACACCATATTCCTGTCTATGTATCTGACCGATTGTTTTTTTCCTACCATGGCATTCTCCTTCCTATCATCCTCTGGACTTATATTCCTGGTGGCTTTGGTTTTGGTTGAAAATGTCCTGGTCTCAATTAGTATAATGTGTAGATGGCATGACACACTTCCTACTGCAAACCTGATGAACAATTCCAGATGCTGTCAGGTTTTGGTTGAAGCCCTTCTCCATGTCACAAATATTTATATATATATACATACGTACATACATCTTTTATTGCACTTTGCCCCTCAGGTTGAGATGTTCCTTCTCCCAACATCCTCTGGATGTATATTCCTGGTGGGTCTGGTGTTGTTTGAAGATGGTCCAGCTAAGTAAAACCTCACATGTGTGCTGGCCAGTATCCCTCCTTCTACTATGAACTGGGTAACAGATGCCCACTGCTGCCAGGTTTTGGACTGGAGATGCACCCCAGGTTTATGGATCTTCTTCCTACCATGTGCTGGATGTCTGTTCCTGGCAGATCTAGTGTTGATTGTAGCTGGATGCAGCACATTTTTCCGCTTGTGTAGGCCAGATATCCTCCTCCAACCACAGACTGGAAGTACCATTCTCATTGCCATCAGGTTTTGGACTGGAGATGTCATCCTGCCAGTGCTTTCCACCTTCCTACCATCTGTTGGATGTTGGTTCCTGATAGATCTGGTGTTGGTTGTGTTGGAAATGTATGCAAGTTGAGATGGATTTTGGTACAGAAGCTCGTCTTCCCTACCAATTCCCATTTTGATGTGAAAGGTAGATGATTTTCTACCTGGTGTTGGATGAGGTCGAACTACCACCATGGTCTGTCACATCCTAACCACTCAACATCCAGGAGTCTCATTCATCAGTCATACATATTCTGAGATTCCTTCATGTTTTCCTGCCTGATCTCTTTTTTTGGGTGCTTCCTAAAGGGTGATCATTTTTTTTATCAGCCCTCTACCAGTTCAGTCTGGGATTCTAGCTATTTTGTGAGAAGAGGTAAGATATCGTACAGGGAGTTGGCATTTCCCATTAGATACTATCTTCTCTCACATTTCCCACTCAGCCTCCCCACTTCCAATAAAATAGGGTGTAGGTCTTCTAACCAATCTTGGAGTGATTAATGAGTGCAGATGTGAAGAGGGGGCTGGTTACAATAGGAGTGGTGTCATGCTCCTATTGGTGGAGAACTGCTGCATGATCATTTGCCTGTGGATATGTGGAAGTGGGAGGTGGAAGGCTAGTGGCACGTGTTGATAATTTGTGCTGATTGAGGGCAGTGTTAGTCAAGAAAAGCTATTACAAAATTACATTCATAAGTTCTAAGTTCTTAATTTTATTAGAAAATATTTAAAAAATCATCAATTTCACCCTAATATGAGAAATGTGACATTTGCTCTCTATGTCTTCCCTTTTTTGTAACTTATTTACCATCCCTCCCAGAAGTACAGAATTTAATGTAAATTACTTATTGGGATATAGTTATTACTCAGGCAAAACAAAAATTTGTAAGGTCTTCAATCTTATATGATTATGGAGCCCTAAACTAGAAAAACAAGAGTCCCCTTGTCACACCCACTTGTCAGGTTCTATCTTTTCCAAATTGCCAATAGTTTTCTTTGATGTTTAATACTATATTACATGTAGTCAATAGAAAGCCAGAGTTTTAATTTGTCACATGATCTATTATATTATATTGTTTTCTGTACAGAGAATTTCACTTCCATTTCAAACTATTCCCATGGGAAACACATTTTCAAGCAGAGATAAATTTTTAATGGCTTATTTGCATAGTTAGAAAGGTAGAAAAATTAAGTTAGTTATAGGACATTGTCTTCTTTTTATATGTTACTATTCTGTGTTTTTTAGGTGCATTATTTTATTGAATAAAAAATTATATTGTTTAGTAGTAATACCATTAGTATAAAAAAGTAGGCTAAGTTTCATCAACAGTCAAAAACAGTTGGAAAAAAAAACACAGGTAAGTACTATATTTCTTGTTTTTCTTGTCTATACTTTATATATTTACTTATTTATTATAAAAGTAACTAAAATGTGAATATTAGAAACTTATTAAATTAGATACATTTTTTCTGAAAGAAAAAACCTATGATATTTATTTTGGAGATTGTGCAAATGAATTTTCAGAGGAAAAAAAATTAATCTTAACATGAAGATCGCTTTGCACTTGGAGCAATCAACACTTTGAGAGAGTTTGACTCAATATGTTCTCAGAAGAATTTTTAGTAAAAATATTTAATAAAAAAATTGATTTTTTGGGTACAAAAGACTTGTAATATTTAGTTATATTCTGCAAAATTTCATCAAGATACTGGGTTCCTCTTTGTTAAACTCAGTACTAGATTTTAGCTCATACATGTCTTCTTGGTCAGACATTTTAGCAGAAGAAAACAGTAATGTATACAGAAAAGTGTTGGGGATGCATTCCAGCACAATAGTTACAGTATGTACAAGCAATGGCCACTTTACAATTATAGTATCCACTGATGGTATCAGTCCTTGATCAACTTCTTACTGATGAATGTAACTGTTATTCATCACATATTCTGAAATTATGTTTGAGTTTAATTTCATGTGGATACAACTGTATGACATGACTGTTATGAATGTAAATTTTAGGAATGCATTGGATCTATTTTACAAGTTAGATGTACAGATCCAAATGTCTTTCTTTCACCAAAAAGAATGTAATTAGCATCCTTTAGGGGAATCTAATCTTTCAAAGCTTGTCACAAAAATGATATGAAAAGGTGGAAGCAGGCCACACATTACCTTCAAAGAGACTTGTAGCTCTATAAAAATCTTGTATTTTACTGAAATAGAAAAGTATGCAATATTTCACATCAGGTGAAGCATCAACTTTGAAAATCACACAGACAGTAGTTTAACACTTTCCATTTGGGATCAGTCGATGTAACTGACCTTGTAACCACAAAGTATCATCAGAGTTTCCATATTGTAACTTTTCATGAGTGTTGTGTATCTTCATGAAATTTGACAAGCTTTCAGTAAACACAAAAAATCTGATTTTTAATTAAGTATTTTTGCTAAAGTGTTGAATGCTCTGAGTGAAAAGTGGTTTTCATGGTTAAGTTAAAAATACTCTTTCATCTGAAAGTTTTCAAGTTTCATTTGCATAACCTCTAAAACCTCATAAATAAATATCTAACTTTTTTTCTTTAAAACTATTTTATCAGTTATTTTCTCTACCTTAACTCTGTATGGACATTGTCAATTTGACTGACCATGTAACCAACATAAAAAATAAATCTAAATTACCTTTCTTTTTCATTCTAGAATGTACTGTAGATTGTGACTGAAAAATATGGTTGTTTGTCCTAAATGGCTTACAGCTCTCATATCCCACATCTGTTTATACTTTTATTGTTTTATTGCCCTTTGAACCATGTCTAACTAATAGTACTGCCACACAAGTTTTAAATCACTTGGTGCATAGCTCACATTATCATGTTGAATGAAAAAATTGTATTACTCTTGTTATCATTAAATTACCTAATCTAACCTTATCTTGCATAGTACTTTCTAATTTTGATATGTTAGTTGCTTTTATAAAAATAAAAAAAAATAATGTATGTGAAAAACAAGAAATGTGATACTTAGTTTGATCTATTGTTTTGTGTTTTTTTTTGCTGTTGGTAGCCTGTGAAATTTAAGCATGATTTTTTATAGGGATAGTACTAGTACACTAAAAAAACGTTTATGTTCTTAAATAATGTACCTAAGAACACAAAAATAATAACATTAACATAGCAAACAATGTCCTATAAGTATTATAATTTAACTGGCTTTCTAACTAAGACATGATGGCTCAAATTTATTCCATTAACTGTTTTATATGAACACCACAAGATAAACTTAAAAACTGAAGATGAAATTCACAATACTATGTTGTGAAAATAATATAACATAATACATCATTTGATACATTAAATTATGGTTTTTTTGTTGGTTATAAATGGTACAGTATAAGCATCAGAGAGAATTATTGGCTATTTGTGAAAGAGAGGATTTGACAGGTGAATGTAGCAATTGGATCTGATTTTCTAGTTTACAGTTATGTAAACAAATAAGATTCAAGGATATAAGAATTATACTTGTCTCAGTAAAAGCTGTATATAATGAGTAATTTACATTAAACGTTTTACTTCAGGGAGAGTTGATAAATAAATTAGAGAAGGGGAAGACCTAGAGAAGAAATGTCATGATTCTCACACTAATGGATATTGAGGATTTTTTTTAAATATTTCTTTATAAAATTAGACTGTGTTTCAATACCAAGTGTATTTATATACATTGATAATAAAGTATTTTATTTAAATTTTGAATGTAAGGATTGAGAGATGCTCACTTTGACTACCTGTTGTGTTAGTGTGAATTGTACTCTGTAACGTTTCCCAGAAAGTAAAAGTCTTAATGAGAGGTTAATAACTTCTTTATCATTTGGGAAAGCAATAATGTGACTTCTTGATAAGTAACACTTATTGTACACATTAAAGAAAATATGAGATGGTTCAGTGTTAGCAAATGTTTGTTAGTATTTTACAAACTTCATTATATATATATATATATATA